CTGGGTCCCTCCTAAGTGATATACAGATGTTAACTCCGTCCTCCTTGTTCCTCCCCTCCCCCATCTCCCTGAACCTTTCCTAAATTGTTCTACAAATTCCTTCCCTCTGGTTGGGGATTCTGATTTGCTACAGGTGTCTAATATGTCTGTTCACTTCTAAATATCCTTAATGAGTTTTATAATAATTGGATAGACGTCAATGAACTTCAGAGGTTTTTTTTTCCTCCTTTCCCAGGACAGGACAAAAAAGGTACTTCTTTCTTACTTGTGAAATATTTGTTTCTGAACTTTCCTTTCAGCAGGATTAAATTTTTTTGTATAAAATATTCCCATCCTACAACATTCAATAATGGTGGGCTTAGGCCTGAAGTACATTCATAATCACGTGTGGTGTAATGGTATCAAAGATTGGTGAGTATGTAAGGTAAGCCACTAGGGAGCAGCTAGAGAAATCTAGGGATAAACGTCTGTTTAAGATTGAAGACTACCCACAGGGGCTGGAATACTGTAACCATGCCCTTTTCTATGCTCAAGCATATGATTTGAACTGGGTTCAATCATGGGAGGTTGACTTTTAATAAGAGGGGAGCTTAAAGTTTTAATAAGAGCTTTCACATTTTGGGCCACTAAATCCCTATCCGCTTCCCTTTGAAAATTTTTACTAGTTACTTGGGCTATGTCTCACATCAAAGGTATACTTGCAAGTGGGAAGTAAAAAGGCATTCAACATACAATATGAATTGTATGAGACAGGTGATTTAGTCCCATACATAAAAGATTCCTAATGAGCATCTGATAGAAACAACCTAGGTCAGGAATTAAGTAACTTAATTTATGACTATGGTTACAATCTGCTGATGGGCTGATACTTAAACCTCATCATAAATGCAAAAAAAAAAAGCAGGACTTCTAATTAGGCGTATTACATTTCACCTAAGGCTTTTCATCTTACAAACAAGTCCACACACACACACACACACACACACACACACACACACACACACACACACACACGCTGGTAAAATGGTCAGATTTAGGTCAATCCTCTTGCTCTGGTTATCCTGTCCAAGACTGCTGGAGTAGTTGACTGTGGTCTCCTCCCTTTTGCCATTCAGCTCTGATGTGATGTGACCTCCAGACCTGCTGAATTCTCATGGTCATAGCCAAGTCTGGATAACTCTTGATAGGCACTAATTCACTTAAGATTCAGAAAGAACAAACCCAGGCTTAGGGTTGCTTAGATAAATGTGACAAAGACATGTTTCAGGTGCCAAGAGCTCACAGGCACATTGAAGCTGGGCTAGGGTTGAGGAGGTTGGGGCCATTACTTCTTAGTAGCACTAAACAGTCCTGAAGGCATTCTGGGTAAGGCAGGCAAGAGAGGAGAAGACTTTCGTTTTTGTACACTCATTGAGTCATTAGCTCTTCTATCTTTGAAGCCACTAAGGGGACTCTTCATACTCTCAAAATGGGACAGCTCTTTTAGCCTGAAGTCACACGTGGCTCAAAACAGGTCCCAAAACTCTCATGTTGTTGAGATACACTAGGCAAGGAAGCTCTGGACATGCTCCAGGGCATGGCCCTATAGTCCATTTCAGCTTTGCTATGTGGTAGATAAGCTGTTTCATTAATACATCTTTGGGTCAGTCAGAAGCCCCATTGCACCTCCAGAATTTCCAGGGCTAAGGAGGGATGGATGTGAGACCATTGGGTAATGACTACTCCAGGCAGACAGAAGAAGCAGATTCTAGAGGGGACTGGTTTTGAGCAGATTAATATCCCAGATTCCTGAAGTCTGTTTCTGGCACAAAATCTCCCTGGCACCGGGATTGCTTTTACCTGGCTCAGATCCAGATGATAACACATATAAAAATAATAGCGTTTCTATAATGCTTACTATGTGCTACGCACTGTGCTAAATCCTTTACAATTCTTATCTCATTTGACCCTCACTACAACCCAGGAAGGTAGGTGTTGTGATTATACCCATTTTACAGAGGAGGAAACTGAGGCAGGCAGCGGTCTGGTCATTTGCCCAGTTACATAGCTAATTAAGTGTCTGAGGCTGGATTTGAACTCGGGTCTTCTGACTCCAGGCTTTGCACCACTCCAAACAGGCAGCTGGTGATGGAGGCACAGATCCCTTCCAGCTCTGCCAATCAATGTGTCCAGGACCTGGTAGGAGTGGTGACGTGCTGTGGAAGCTAGGAAGTTAGGGAGGGAGGCCCTCCAGTACTATGGGTTCTGCGCATGCGCAACATCGGAACTACGATTCCTAGAAGGCTTTGTTCACCACATTAATTAACCCTTTCCACGCCTGCGCTGGAGGTGGGGGGGGGGGAAGAAAGTCATTTCCGTTTCCGCCTCGTCGCCTCCAGTTTCTGGTAGACCGAGCTTCTCTCGGCTGCGGCTGGGGCCTGAGCCCTGCGTCCCAGGCCAGGGTGAGTAGGAGCCCGACACAGGGCCGACTAGACTGCGAAGAGGGCTGAGCACCTCTGGGGCGGGAGAGCAGCCGTGGCGCCGCCCTGAGGAGGAACTGCGCGTGCGCGGGCTACCTCTCCGCCCTACCCGCGGCAACGCCGCCTCCGGATAACTATGAGCCAATCAGCAGCGCCGCTGCTTCCCTGGCCCGCCGCTCCCCGTGTGCGCAGCTGCGTAGCGCCGCCTTGCTCCTCCCTAGAGTTGGACCCACGTTTGCTGATCCCTGCTGTGTGCGGGGCGTTCTCCGGCCTTTTGGGGGCGTCGTGCCCCGACAGAGCTCCCTCCTCTTCGGGAGTTCTTAGCGTTCGTGCGTCGTGGACCCCTTGGCAGTCTAGTGCAACCTATGGACCCCGTCTCCGAAAGATGTATTTTTGCCTACATTTCTAATTGAAAAAAAAAGCTAAAATTAAGTTTTGGTTTTTTTTTTTTAAGGATGCTCTTTAACTGACATCCAAGTTTATGCTTCCCCCACCCCAAATAATCACCCCTTGGGGAAGGGTCCACTGGACCCCGGCTCAACAACACTTGTCCTAGGAGTTGCACGGAGAGAAATAAATAATACGAAATAGACAACAAATGTGAAGTCATTTGAGGGGCCGGGACTGACCACAGGGAGAATCCGAAAAGACGTCTCGGAGGAGGCGATACTTGACCGGAACCTCTACTGGGTCTAGGTGTTGAGCAGCTGGGGCAGAAAACGGGGAACATTCCAGCAGTGGGGTGCAGCCCGGGCAGAAGCCTGGTGGCATGGGGTGGGATATGGCCTGGGGAAAGCAGGCGAGTTTGTTCGATCGTATTTTTCGTCAGGTGAGGAATGTGAAGTCGGCCTAGAAAAATGGGTTGGAGCAAAAAGTCACGGACCAAACTCTGCATCCCCTTTGGCTCAGTGGTACCACTACCAAGCCTGCGGCTCAAAGAGATCGAAGAAAGAAGAAAAGATTGGACGAAATGAGATAATATTTGTGAAGCACTTTGCAAACGAAACTCTAGATAATTGTTAGCTATCATGATTGCATGTAATATGTATGTTTTATATACATATCAACTCAATGGAATACTGTTGTGCCATAAATGTAGAAAGGGATGGTTTTAGAGAAAACGCAAAATTGGTGTGCATTGATACATATTGAAGTGAGCAGAAGCGAAAGAGCAATATATACCATAACATCATAAAGAAAAATGGCTTTGATGGGCTGAAGAAGTCTGATCAATGCAATTATCAGGAAAGCAATGATGAACTGCCCTATCCAAATCTTGACAGAAAGGTGATAGACTCCAGGTGCAGAAGGAGACATTTTTTAGACTTGTCTAATATGGAAATTTGTTTTGATTGCACATACTGGTTGCAAGTGTTTTGATTTTCTTTCCTTTTTTTCATTGGGAGAGGGAGGAAGGAAGAAGAAAGAAAATACATTTTTGTGTATTTAAAAAAAAATTTAAAAACAGGTTGAAGGCAGTGTGCGGAGAGTTTTAAATGCCAGACAGAAGAGTTTATATTTTATCTTAGAGAAAATGTGAGGAGCTACTAAAGAATACAAAAGTGATGGTGAAATCTTGTAGTGTCTGCCATACCAGGATCATTTGAAGGAACCAAGGATTTTTAATCTGGAGAACAGAAAGCTCCCTGGACATATGATAGCTGTCCTCAGATGTTTGAAGGGCCCTCATTTGGAAGAGGGATTAGGCTCATTTTTGCTTCACCCAAAGGATAAATACAAGGGCAGTGGATGGAGCTTGGAACATGGATGTTTAGGCTTGAAAGAAGGCCGTACTTCCTAGTAAAGAAGGGTTTCCCAAAATGGAACGGGCTACCTTCTAAGAGCCCTCTGAGAGCTTAAGATTTTGTGAATAAATGAAAATGCAGACTTTAAGACCCTTCAATGGTTTCAACTTACTTTTATTTGACAGTTTTTATTGCCTGATTACTCCCTTTCACATCCATTCCAGCCAAACTGGACTCCCAGTTGTTTGTGGGACTGAACATTCCATTTCCTCCCTGTGAACTACTCTAGATCCCATCCATGGTGCCTCCGGTGCATTCCTGTCTTGTTTAGCCTTTCCCTCTTAGACTCCTTATCTTCCTTCAAAACTTACCCTGGATGCCACCTTCCCCAGGAAGCCTTCCTGCTCCCCCACTTAATAGCGCTCTGTCTCTCCTCAGCTGTCCATTTATTTCCCTGTGCTTATGCTTTATCTCCTCAGGATAATGTCAGTTCTTTGAGGGAAAGGATCATTTCCTTTTGGTCCTCTCTTCCCCTCCTCCCCCCACCCAGCACCTAGCAAAATGCTTTTCCTATGATAGGTGTCTAATAAATAGTTGTTGAATTGCCCTGTATCCTGGGAACAGCCCAGAAGCTTTCCCTGATAGCCACCTCAGTGGGGAGGTTACTTGGGAAGGGGAGGGGAGAAGGGGAATAAGCATTTATATAATATCCACTGTGTGCTGGGACTTAGAGAATGTGAGTACAGACACCGCTAAACGTGGTCAGCATTAACTTGTAATTCCATTTCCTCCCTAGCTCTGCGTCTTGTGACCTCTGCTTCCCCAGTACATGAGAACATTGAAGAAGGCATGGCTTCTGTACTCCTGACAGCCGGGGCCAGCATGGTGAGTGGAGTCTGCTCCTTCAGCCCAAAGTGTGTGGATAGGATTGGATAGATTTCTTTCCCATATCCTGTAACCCTAGAATTTGTGGCCATCCTAGAAACTAGACTTAGAGCGAGAAGGAACCTTAGAAATTGTCTGGTTATACCTTCCTGCCCCTTGCAATACTCTCACATTTCCTTTTTAGATGTCTTATGTTTAGTTGCATGTTTGCATATTGTTTTCTCACACTATAAACTGGAGGGCAGGGACTCTGGTGCCTAGCATTGTGCTTGACACCTAGAAAGTGCTTCATAAATGTTTGATGGCTTAAGGAGAGCAAACCAAACCCCTGCCAGTGAAAGGGACTGTCCAGAGGCCTCTCGGGTCCTGAGTGACAACCAAGATTGGAATCCAGCCCTTCCTATTACATTCTGCAGCCTTCTGGAGTGATGAACTTCACCTGGGACTCTGCCTTGGGCTGCCATCATCTGTCTTCTTTGCCTGCTTCGCTTCATTGATTTGTCAGCCTCTCCCAGACTGGTGTGCTTGGTCCTAGCTTGCTGTTGTGAGGGATGCCAAGAGGCTGGGTGAATGGCCTGACATTTGCACATCTGGCTTTCGTGTGGAGTGAGCATGCTCCTCTTAAAGATGAGCAGCTGGTAATGGTTCCATTTTAGAGCCATGAGGACAGAGGTACGGGCTGAGGAAGTGACTTTGTGAGCATCATACAAAGTCATCGTGGGAGGGGGGACTCCCGCGAAGGGACCAAGGACTTTCCTCTGTCCCTGTTTCTCCCCTTTCTGGCCCTCCTCGTCCAGTTTTCACAAGTAGCCCTCCCCTAGGAGCAGACTGCTTATATTAGACTTGTCATTGGCTGCTTGTGAGGACAGGACGAGGAAGGTCTGCTCAGGTCCCCAGATGAGTCTGCTGAGGCAGAAAGGCTTCCCAGAAGGAAGGCTGTCTAGAGCCTTGGGCTGAGCTCTTATTTGTCTTCCTTTGCATCACTTCAGTTTCCTTCTTGGGCTAGTTTCAAGGTTCCTCTGTGGGGAAGAAACAAGCTTCACTCTGATTTTGTGCCTGAAAACTGACCAGGACCTGTTATTCAGGTTATAAGCCAAATCAGAGGAAAGTGTCAGTTGACTGTTGCAGGTTCTCCTCTGATAGTTAATTAGGATTTGATAATAAGAAATAAGTATTTATAGCACAAAACGAAGAAGTAAAATTAAGAGCAGTTAGACCATGCAAGCTATTACTAAATGCGGGCAGCATGGGGCAGTGTGGCCTAATGCTTGGAAGCCATGAGAACCAAGATTGAAGCTCATCTCTGATGAGCCAGTCACTTAACTCCTCCGTGTCCTAAGCAACATCAGAAGTTGCAGAGAAAGTGCCAACCTGCATTGGTGGAAGGAATTTCCTCACATGTGAGTTCCCTGTCCTAGGGATAGTCCAGTCACTCCCCTATCCTAAATACAAGCAAGTGTCTACTCTCCAGTAAGAGGGACAGAGCATGCAGTTCCCAGATGTGTGGCTGTAACCTTTTCTTCCTGATGAGAAGAGGAGCACTGGTGATGGAGCTGGCCGATGGTCTGGATTCACCAGGGCCTAGCACTCAGTGCTTCACATGATGTCATCCTGGTGGGAACCTTTAACCTCTTTATTTTATTTGGAAGTCTCCTTCATCTTTCAACCTTTGCTCCCCCTTTGTGCTTTCTAGCTTAATCAGGTTTCCTTACTTGGAGGGTGTCAACCTTATTCATAGTCATTATTCTGCCCTGGAAGAGCCTTGTATTTTCCCTGACCAGAGTGATTCTGTTTTCAGAGAAGGCTCCATTTCACTTTTAAACAGGCAGTCCCAACTAACCTCTCTACTTTGCCTTCCTTTACCCCATTCTTGTGCAAGGATACTAAAAGACAGAGTTTACCCTGAGTTGGACTGGATAGCCCCCAAGATCCTTGTCAACACTCAGTAAGCAGATGAGAAAGTTTCTTTCTCTCCTGACTTCCCGATGCCCCCCACCCAGGTCTTCCACCCTTATCCTACACAGACACTGCACCCAAACAACAGACTGACCAGCCAGTGACTAAACAGCTTTGAACCCAGCAAGACCAGGTGTTTTTGGTGCGCTGAAAGTACCAGTGGGAAATAGCTCATAGTCAGGGATCCATTTACTTCATGGAAAACACTTATCTGTGTGCCAACTAATGTTTCTCCTTGTCTCGATTTTTAGCAATGTGTGAAATAAAGCCTTTTATTGACATATTCTAAATTATAATAAAGTAGGCCTTCCATGAGCAGTCATCATGTAAATGGGGTTTTCATAAATGTGGTTAGTTCTAATATGGTGGATGAAACAGAGCAGTATGGAGAAGACAATAGTTCCGCTAGTAACAGCCTTATACCTCATGTTCTGCCTGGGATGAACTATTGAAGGGATTACCTTAAGTTACTCAGTCTGTGGTGGTGCAGGGAGGAGTTACTTGGGAAACAAGGCCTGTTGTTGTTCTAGGTCAGACCTCCTGTGGGACCCATGAATCTCCATTTCTCACCCTTTGATATCTTGAACAGAATGTAGGAGAGACTCTAAAGATTAAGAAATTGGCCTGGCATTCATTAGATTGGTCCAATTAACTGGTATTTGACAGAGTAACACTAATCTGTTGGTCATTTGTCCAGTAGACTGTGTGATCTCATGGGTGCGTAGCCAGTATAAAATGGTTACTCTTAGCTTTCTTAGTGACAGCAACAACACGGCTATTACTGGCCTATAACTCTTGGCCAGCAAGAGGATTCCCAAGTCCTTGACCAATCGGCTAATCTCGTCTGTTCTAGAATCGGATCTGTTGACTGCTGTACAAATTGCAATTGCTTTGGATGCAGAGGATAGAAAGCCTGCTGATTACTAAGTCTGTGACAAGTATTTGTTTTACTAGTACTTAGCATGACTTGAATAGGTTCTTTGGGGGATTTGATTTCCTGCTTGTCAGGGCAGACTACGCACTGAAACATATATCCTTCCCAGGGTCCACGTAGGCCCTTGTATGTTTATGTCTGGACTCTCTTAAAGGGGCCATAGCGAATAAATATACTCCCACCCTAAAACCTGTCAAGCCTGTCTCCCAGACCTTGGGTTGGTAGAGATTCCTGGTTTGTTATTGAAACAGATAGATCAGTGTTCACGAGTGAGATTATTGCATATGGACACAACTGGTTCATCCCAGAAATCCTGAACCTCAGAATAAACTCTGGTCTCATCTGAGTGTTTGAGCCTGTTTGGCAGTACCACTCTTAGGGATGAATAAAGGGGTCTTCTCTTGTTGTCTTGTGCAGAGATAACGCAGAGTCTCCCAGAACCACCTTATAAAGGCTGTCTTCACCAGTGCTAGATAGGGTGGCCAGGGAGGCTGTGCCATCAGGAGGGAGGGAGGGAAGTCTCACAGAGAACGAGAGCATGGAAGGAGTGGGAAAGGAAAAGTGTTGTCTACAGAGCAGGCATTCCAAAGAGATTGACACTGGGCCATTGGGAGCACTGAAGGGAAGGGACTGGGCAGTGGGGGATGGAGAATGGGTTTGTATGATGACAGCCAGGAGTACGGAATCACTAGGATGGGTTGGGTATCACCAGGTAGGAGCTCGTTAATCGTTACTGAGTGAGTTCAGAAGGGGTATTGGCATCTGTAGGGGTTCAGCCCCAGGACCTCTCAAGGTGTTAGGTAGCTCAGGAGACAGAGGGCACCACTGGGAAGAGCTAATGCCATGGCATTTCAGTCCTATCTCTACAAGCTAGGCCTGAAGGTAGGTAGGTGGAGGGAGCAGGAAAACATGATGTCTCTGTCCCCTGCAGGCAGGAAGGGCACATTGTCAGTGGGAAAAGGCCAGGACAGGTGGAGACCAGCACAAAATGATGTGGCACCACTCTGATGCTCCCTAAGTAGGGTGAGGCTGAGCTCCGGGAATTGCCCCGTGTGGACAGGCATCCCTCTCTCTGACCTCCCTCGGGCAGGAAGAGAGCCTGTAGCCCAGCCTTGACTCTATTTCAGACTGACCACACCCCAGAGATTACTGCCTCAGGGCAGTGAGGGGCCCCAAGTATTGGTTTAAGCCCTGCCTTGCTCTAAGTGCTCTAAAAGCTGCCCCTTGGGGAATTAGGGTGTCTGGAGTTCATACAGAAGGCCCTCCAGTGGCAGGAAAATTTTACAGTTCCCTTTGTTCTGCTGCCACTTCGGCACCCTGCCCGGCATCATCCCGCGACCCAAAGCTGATGGTGACCGCCCTCCTGGGATGGGGCCCATGGCGCGGGGGTGCCCGTTTGGTATTTCCTGGGCTTCTTCCCTGGTTAGACATTGAGTGGACAGACCTACCGCAGGTAAGTCACAGTGGCCAGGAGCTGTTTGCAGTTTTGCCTCAGGACTAATGTCTGGCAGCGTGTCACTCTGGAAGTGCTGTGCTGTTGAATTTAGAGTCAAAGGCAGTAAACTTCCATCCCAGCTCTGTCATTTGCCATCAGTGGAATCTTAGGGAAATGACTTTGCTTTTCAGGGCCTGGTTCTCCTCATCTTTAAAATCAGGGTTTTGCATTCTGTGACTTGAAGATCCCTTCCAAATCTAAATTAGTGATCTTGTGAAACAAGGATTCTCTGAGGTCCCTTCCACTTCTAACTCTCTGCAATGTAGTTTCCTAACCAAGGGAGGTGATAGTTTTCCCCTTCTCTGCCCTGGTCTTGCTGCTGCATCTGGAATCTGGAATGTTATGCTCACTTCTGAGCACCACATCTTAAGAAGGACAGTAATTAGTTGGAGAGTGAACAGAGTAGGCCAACTTGGGTGGTACGTAAATCATACTTACTGGTTGATGCTTGTAAGAGAAGACTTAGAGGGACATGGTAGTTGTCTTCAACTATGTGAAGACCCATCAACTAGAAGAAGGAGTCAACTTAATTCTGCTTGACCCCAGACGATCAAACTAGGAAGCATGGATGGAAGTTATAAAAGGAAAACTGTCCAGAAATTAATGTTATCCTGAAATAGAATGCCCTATCTCTGGAGCAGTGTATTAGCTCAATGACTACCCTTACTGGTATTCAGATAGATGCCTTGGAAGACCTTAAAACCCAAACACTGTTAGAATTGCCCTCAAAATTCCTTTCAAGTTCACTTCTCTCAGGTCAAGATGAAGAATGATTCCTGGCTGTGTTTTTTGTTTTTCAAGAATCTATGACATTCAAAGATGTGGCTGTGGAATTCACCAGGGAGGAGTGGGTATACCTGGGCCCTTCTCAGAAAGAGTTGTACAGGGATGTGATGCTGGAGAACTATAAGAACTTGGTCTGCCTGGGTAATGACAGCTGCCCTCTTTGAATTAGAACCTGCCCATTGGGATGTCTGCTTCCTTCCTTAACAAATACTGTGGGCTGTTTCAAGATGTTTTAAAATTAAATTTTTAAAAATTAGCAATCTTTTTTTTTCTCCCATCCCTATCCTCTCTCCCCTTATATGGCTAAAAAAAAGAAGACGACAACAAAAAAAGAAAAACAAAATCCTTGTAACAAATATGCATAGCCAAGCAAAACAAATCCCCATATTCGCCACGTCCAAAAATATGTCTTATTCCATACAGTTAGCTTATCACCTTTCTGTCAGGATTTTTATTATTGTTCCTTTGGAATCGTGGTTGACCATTGCATTAATCATTGATCTTAAATCTTTCAAAATTTTTGTCACTGCAGTGTTGTTGTTAATGTATAAATTGTCGTGATTCTGCTTACTTCACTCAGGACGAGTTGATGCAGATCTTCTTCTGTGAAACAGTTCTCATCATGTACAGCATAATAACATTCTGTTATATTTATATGCCATAATTTGTTTAGCGATTTCCAAATTGATGGGTAACATCTTGGTGAGGGCAGCTAAGTAGTGGCCCAGTGGATAGAGCACTGCTGGGAGTCAGGAAGATTGATCTTCCTGAGTTCAAATCCAGCCTCAGACATTTGCTTGCTATGTGACCCTGGGCAAGTCACTTCACCCTATTTGCTTCAGTTTCCTTATCTGTAAAATCAGCTGGAGAATGAAATGGCAAATCACTCCAGTATCTTTGCCAAGAAAACCCCAAATGGGGCCACAAAGAGTCAGACAGAATTGAAACGACTGAACAGTAGCAGCAGCCACCACCGCCACCTCAACCCCTTGGTTTCCAGTTCTTTGCCATTACAAGTAGAGTAGCTCTACATATTTTTTTTTTTATGGAGAAACCTGAAATTAGTTCTTCTTTGGTCTAGACTCAGGGTATTTGATCTATGTGTTCCTAGTCAAAAAAATCTTTGTTTGTAAGACTGGAAATTAGCAACTTAATTCATGGCCCCTGAATATTTATCTTTTCCATTCCCTTTTGCTTTAGATCCAAGATTCTTGCACATACCAGCATATATAAAATCTTCATATTGTCTTTAGCAGGGAGTGAGTAAAACAAACTAGTTTATTTCTGAGCCCAACTCTATATCCCATTCTCCAGTAAAAGTCTTAGCAAGACACTATAAAACATCCTCAGAAGTCTTATGTACTCTAGGGCTTTCTATTATGCCTACTTTTTTCTGTAGTGAAAGATTGGGCCAGCTTTGAATTATTTTTTTAAAGTCTTTTGGGAAGATGGAGGAGAAAAGGCAGGGACTTCACCTGAGCTCTCTTGAATTCCCCTTCAAACAACACGAATGTCTCAAAATAAATTCTGGAATGGCAGAACAGTGTTCCAGTGCAAGACAGATTAGAAGGTTGGGAGGAAAGGTTTATTGCACCGGGGTGAGAGTGAAGCACAGTCTAGTGCAGGGCTCTCCCCCAGTAAATCAGCAGCAGGCCTTAGGATTGACTGAATCAGTAGTGGCAGCAGCTGCTTCAGCTGCTTTCAGCCCACAGATGGTAAGGGACTCGGACAACTGGTCAGAAGGAGATTACAGGGATCCTTTTGCTGGCAGTGGGTGCAGGACTCTGTTGCGTTACCCATACTTGGATCCAGGTTGCAGTCCCAGGGCAAGGAAGAGCACTAGCGTACCAGAGCTCGTGCCGCGGGGGAGCAGGAGCTCTGGTCACAGTTCTAGGGCAGAAAAGAGTGCTTGTGGTTGCTCACAGACTAGAGCACAGGCCAAGGAAAGTAGTAAACACACCTCTCCTTAGATCATACTGTCTTGGAAGAACTGAAAGCTTATAATCCCCCCCCACACTCCCCTCCCCCCTTCAATTAGCTCTGAAAATAGATGCACAAAAAACCTGAAGCTTGGGACAGTGTTCCTCCCGATCAGGAGCACAGCTTAACTTTCATATAAGTTAAAAGTCAAAAAATAGGCTGGATAAATGAGCAAACAACAACAACAACAGAAGAGCCTGAGCATAGAAAGTTACAGTGGTGACCGGGAAGATCAAAACACAAACTCAGAGCAGACAACAAAGTCAAAATTACTACATTTAAAGTCTCAAAGAAAGCTATGAATTGGTCTCAGGCCCAAGAAGAATTCCTAGAAGAGCTCAAAAAGGATTTTAAAGCCAAATAAGAGAGATAGAGGAAAAATTGGGAAAAGAAATGACAGTGATACAAGAAAATAATGAAAAAAGAATCAATAGCTTGGTAAAGGAGGCACAAAAAAAAAGATGTTAAGAAAATAACACATTTAAAAACAGAATAGGCCTAATGGTAAAAAAGGCACAGAAATCCAGTGAAGAGAACATCTTAAAAAGCAGCATTGGCCAAATAAAAATATGTACAAAAATCCACTGAAGAAAAGAACTCCTTAAAAAGTAGAACTGGCCATATGGAAAAGGAGCTCAACAACAACAACAGAAATAATTCCTTAAAAATTAGGAATTGGGCAAGTGAAAGCTAATGACTCCATGAGACATCGAGAAGCAGTAAAACAAAATCAAAAGAATGAAAAAATAGAAGAAAATATGAAATATCTCTTTGGAAAAACAGCTGACCTAGAAAATAGATCAAGGAGAGATAATTCAAGACTGCCCTGATATTCTAGAACCAGAGGGTAAAATAGAAATTGAAAGAATCTACCGATCACTTCTTGAAAGAGATCCCAAAATGAAAACTGCCAGGAATATCATAGCCAAATTCTAAAGCTTCCAGGTCAAGGAGAAAATATTGCAAACAACCAGAAAGAAACAATTCAAATGTCATGGAGCCACAGTCAGGATAGCACAAAATTTAGTGGTTTCTACATTCAGGGATTGGAGGGCTTGGAATGTGATATTCTGGAGGACAAAGGAGCTAAGATTAAAATCAAGAATCACCTACGCAGCAAAACTGAGTATAATCCTTTAGGGGGGAAATAGAAATTCATTGAAATAGAGGACTTTCAAGTATCTGGTAAAAATACTAGAGCTGAATAGAAAATTTGACTTACAAATACAAGAGAAACATAAAAAGGCAAACAGGAAAGAGAAATGGTAAGGAATTCAATAAGGTTAAACTGTTTACATTTCCTATACAGTAAAAGAGGCACAAAAGAGCTTTTTCAGTGGAGGGGAAGATGAGGGAGGTGGGTGGGAGTGCTTGAAACTTACTTTCATCTGAGTTGGCTCAAAGAGGAAATAACATACACACTTACTTACAGAATTCTATGTTACCCTACAGAAAAGTAGGATGGGAAGGGGATAAGAAAAAAGGGGAGGGTCTGATAGAAGGGAGAGTGGACTGGGGGAGGTGGTAATCAAACATTTTTGAGGATGGACAGGGTGAAAGGAGAGTGAGAGTAGGATAAATGGGAAAACAGGAAGAAGAGAAATACAGTTAGTAATCACAACTGTGAAAAAATTCTTACAGCAAGTTTCTCTGATAAAGGCCTTATTTCTCAAACATATGGAGAACTGAGTCAAATTTATAAAAATAAGAGCCATTCCCCAATTGATAGTCAATGGATATGAAAAGGCAGTTTTCCAATGAAGTAACCAAAGCCATCTATAGCCATATGAAAAAATGCTTTAAATCACTGTTGATTAGAGAAATGCAAATTAAAACAATTCTGAAGTACCACCTCACACCTATCAGATTGGCTAATATGACAGAAAAGGAAAATGACAAGTGTTGGAGGGGATGTGGGAAAATTGAGACACTCATACACTGTTGGAATTGTGAACTGATTCAACGACTCTATAGAGCAATTTGGAACTATGCCTAAAGGGCTGTATAAAACTATGCATTCCCTTTGATGTAGCAATAGCACTACTAGGTCTGTATCCCAAAGAGATAAAAAACAAAAAGGAAAAAGACCTATGCGTACAAAAATATTTAAAGTAGCTCTTATAGTGGAAACAACAAAGACCATCAATTGAGGAATGGCTGAACAAGTTGCAGTATATGATTGTGATGGAATACTGTTGTGCTATAAGAAATGACAAGCAAGATGCTCTTAGAAAAACTTGGAAATACTTACATGAACCAATAAAAAGTGAAATGAGCAGAAGGAGAAGAACACTGTCCACATTAACAGCAATATTGTATGATCAGCTTTAAATAACTTAGCTATTCTCAGCAATAAGGTGATCCAAAGGGGCAGTTGGGTGGCACAGTGGATAGAGCTCCAGCCTTGGAGTCAGGAGGACCTGAGTTCAAATGCGGCCTCAGACACTTGACACTTACCAACTGTGTGACTCTAGCCAAGTCACCTTAATACTGATTGCCTCACCAAAAAGCAAAAAACATTTTAAAAATTAAAAAAAAATACAATGATTCAAGACAGTTCCAAGGGACTCATGATGAAAAGTGCTATCCATCCCTCAAAAAAGGAACTGATGGAGTCTGAATGCAGATTGAAGCATACTTTTTTAAAACTTTCTTTTTTTGTCTGTTTTTTTTTAAACAACATGACTAATGTGGAAATATGTTTTACATCACTGCAAATGTATCAAATTGCTTACCTTCTCAGGGGGGATGGGAAGAAGGGAGAGAGAATTTCAAACTTAAATTTTAAAAAAAGATATTGAAAATAGTTTTTACATGTATTTGGGGGAAATAAAATATTAAATAATTCTAAAGTCTTTTGGATGCTTTTTAAACTCCACACTCATTTTTATGAAATATCCTCCTGCCCTTCCCTATTAAACCATTCAACTCTCTCATAAAAAATAAAAAGAAAACCAGCTAAAGCTAACATCCTGTCAAGGATAGGCAGGATTGAATTATTAGATGACAGTCCTTAGAATGTTTCCATTGTCATTGAACAGGATTTGCAGTTTCCAAACCAGATGTCATCTACCAATTGGAGAGAAGAGAAGGATCTTGGATGCCAAAGGGAAATATCCCAAGAAACAACTGCCTAGGTGAGTACATGAAAACTGAGCAGATGAATCATATTCTGTTCATCATTTAGGAGGAGCCTCTTAGCTATAGAGGGAGACATTCTAAGAAGCAGATGAGTCATTGTAAGCAATAACTCCGTTGAGGAGCATTTGTAAAACTTTGGATAGGGTCCTCAGAACTCCTCAGACTTTTTCTTCTCTGGAGAAGTTATTGGTTGTACAAGGAGATGTCTATACAAACAAAGAGGAAAGGGTGAGGGGAGCAGCTGACAGTTAAGTGTAACTCATCTAAACTGGTCAAAGGAGGGAAGAATACACATGTGCGTGCGCATGCATACACACACACACACACACACACACACAGAAAAAATAAAGAGAATCTACATGGATTTGGGAAGGAAGAGAAGAGAGATGCAAAGAGTCAGCAGGGGAATAAACTTGAGAAGGAAAAAACGGGGAGTGATATTTTCAAATGTTTTACATATTTATATTTAAAAAAAAATCTTTGCTAGTGAGCTAAACAAAAAAAGTCAAAAGATTTTTGCTGCTTAAAAAATAAAATTTAATTGTTTAAAAAATGACTGATGGAGCAAAACTCTGACTCCTTGGCAGAAACTGGTGGACTAGAGCAGGAGTTGGCAGACTGTGGTTCAATGCCAAATTCAGGTCTCCACTAAGAAATTTTTTTTGTTTAGCTCACTAGCAAAGATTTTTTTTAAATATAAATACGTAAAACATTTTAAACTCACAGGCCCTACAAAAATTGGCAGTGGGCTGGATTTGGCCCTTGGTCCAAACCCTTGAACTAAAGGTAAAAAATGAGACACGTGTGCTCAGATGCTGCCAATGTGCAGATTTGTTTTGCTTGACTATATTTACATAGTCAGTTTCTATAGTTATAGAGGAGGGCTTTTGATTTAGGGAGGGAAGGAGAATTTTGTAAGTAGCAGTAGAATTTGAAAAAGAAGAAAAAGAGCTTCAAAGAAACATTTGAAAATACGCAACAGAGAGGACAGTTATAAAGAAACACAGGCAACACAGTTTTGTTGCTACCAGGTTAAACTTGGTATGCACTTTTAAAACATTCAAACTGCATGGAATGAAAATTCATAGTTTCATATACAGAATTTTAAAACATTTTTTATATTAAAATGTTCTTGTTTATTTTTTTAGTTCCTAATAAAAAAAGAAAATTAAAATTAAAAATCCAAAAAAGAAATTAGAGCCACATACGTATAATAAGTGGCAGAAGCTGGATTGAACCCAGGTGCTCTGCCTCTAAATTCATTGGTCTTCCTGTTCTACCAAACTGCTTTATATCACTCCCCGTTTTTTCCTTCTCAAGTTTATTCCCCTGCTGACTCTTTGCATCTCTCTTCTCTTCCTTCCCAAATCCATGTAGATTCTCTTTATTTTTTCTTTTCAGTTGTCACCCTATCTAGACTTAGCTTAAAATGCGGGGCAATATTTGCAAGATATGAAGGCCATATTTTTTGTAAATGTAATCTTTTTTTTTAATATAAATTTATTTATTTTTAGTTTTCAACATTCACTTCCACAAGTTTTTGAGTTCCAGATTTTCACCCCATCTCCCCTCCCCCCACCCCAAGATGGCATGCATTCTGAATATCCCTTCCCCTAGTCTGTCCTCTCTTCTATCTCTCTCCCCTTCTCTTATCCCCTTCCCCTTCTGTTTTCCTGTAGGGCAGGATAGACTTCTGTACCCCATTTCCTATATTTCTTATTTCCCAGTAGCATATGAAAACTTTTTTTTTAAAACATATGTTTTTAAAACTTTAGGTTTCAAATTTTCTGTCTTCCTCCCTCCCCACCCACCCTCATTGAAAAGGCAAGCAACTCAATATAGGTTGTACGTGTGCAGTTATGCAAAACACGTCCATAGTAGACATGTTATGAAAAACTAACTCTATTTCCCTTAATCCTATCCTGCCCTCCCATTTATTCTATTCTTTCTTTTGACCCTGTCCCTCCTCAGAAGTATTTACTTCTGATTACCCCTTTCCCAATCTGCCCTCCTCTCTATCATCCCCCTGCTCTCTTGTCCCTTCTCCCCTATTTTCCTGTAGGGTAAGACAGATTTCCATACCCAATTGAATGTGTATGTTATTCCCTCCTTAAGCCAAATCCTATGAGAATAAGATTCACTCATTCCCTCTCACCTTCCCCGTTTCCCCTCCACTGTAAGAGACTTTTCTTTTCTGTTTTTTTTGTGAGATAATTTACCCCATTCTACCTCTCCCTTTCTTTTTCTCTGAGTATAATCCTCTCTCATCCCTTAATTTTATTCTCCAGATATGACCCCTTAATCTTCAGCTCACCCTGTGCCTCTCTATCTATCTACATATCTATACATACATATAATTTTTTTTCCTCCAACTACCCTGATTCTGACAAAGGTGCCATGAGTTATAAATATCATCTTTCCATGCAGGAATGTAAACAGTTCAATCTTAATAAGTCTCTTATGTTTCTCTTTCCTGTTTACCTCTTCATGTTCCACTTGAGTCCTGTATTTGAAAGTCAAATTTTCTATTCAGCTCTGGTCTTTTCATCAAGAATGCTCGAAAGTCCTCTATTTCACTGAATGACCATTTTTTCCCCTGAAGGATTATACTCAGTTTTGCTGGGTAGGTAATTCTTGGTTGTAATCCTATCTCTTTTGCCCTCCGGAATATTATATTCCATGCCCTGCAGTCCTTTAATGTAGAAGCTACTAAATCTTGTGTTATCCTGATTGTGTTTCCACAGTACTTGAACTGTTTCCTTCTGGCAGCTTGTAATATTTTCTCCTTAACCTGGGAACTCTGGAATTTGGCTACAATAGTAAATGTAATCTTTTTAAAAAAAAATTTATATATTTATTTTTAGTTTTCAACATTCATTTTTATAAGATTTTGAGTTCTAAAATTTTCCCCCTCTCCTCCCCTTCACCCTCCTCAAGATGGCATGCAATCTGATATAGGCTATACATATGCAATCATATTAAACATATTTCCAGACTAGTCCTGTTGTGAAAGAAGAATCAGAACAAGAGGGAAAACCACGAGGAAGAAAAAAAAAAGCAAAGCAAAAAAGAAAATAATATGCCTCAATCCGCATCCCGACTCCATAGTTCTTTCTCTGGATGTGGATAGCATTTTCCATCATGAATCTTTTGGAATTGTCTTAGATAATTATATTGCTAAGAAGAGGTAAGTCTATCAAAGTTGGTCATTGCATAATGTTGCTGTTACTGTGTACAATGTTCTCCTGGTTCTGCTCGTATAAGTGTAATCTTTACCATATGTTCAAATGTTGATCACTTGCAGGACAGGCCTTTATCGTCCCTCTAATACTCCTCTTTTTATTAGGGCACTTAGAAAAAATTTAATCCTGAATCTGTTGATTTAAGTATATTAACCATGTATCACTGGATTTTATATAACATATATTGAGTTCTCTGTCTAAATCAAGTTAGATTGGGCCTCTCAAGCAGGGAGGCAGGAGAGCAGTTGTAAAATTTGTGAGCAGGCAGAGCCTTTGGGAAAGAGAAGAAAAGAGACAATACTAATCAATCCATTGTTCTTGCTTTCAGAGAACAAAGCCCTTAGTCCACATAGGAAAATTCAAATTGGACAAAAAACATAATGGATATAATAAATGTGAGAAGACCTTCCTTGAGTGCAAACAACTTGTTCCATATGCAAAACTAGGACAGAAACCTTATGAATGTAAGGAATGTGGTAAGGCTTACCATTACAGCTCAGGGCTTACTCAACATAAGAGAATTCATATAGGAGAGAAACCTTATAAATATAATGAATGCAGGAAGGCTTTCAGTATTAAGGTGCAACTGATTTACCATCAAAGAATTCACACTGGAGAGAAGCCTTATGAATGTGATGAATGTGGGAAAGCCTTTGGTAGGAGGGCAGTAGTTACTCGACATCGGAGAATTCATACTGGAGAGAAACCTTATGAATGTAATGAATGTGGAAAGGCCTTCATTGTGAGGTCACAGCTTAAGATACATCAGCGAATTTATACTAGAGAAAGGCCTTATGAATGCAATGAATGTGGAAAGGGTTTCCCTCAGAAGAAATACCTGCTTGTACATCAGCGAATTCATACTGGAGAGAAACCTTATAAATGTAATGAATGTGGAAAGGCCTTCTATGTAAAGGTAGACCTGACTCAGCATCTGAGGATTCATACTGGAGAGAAACCTTATGAATGTAGTGAATGTGGGAAGGCCTTTATTGTGAAGACACAGCTTAAGGTGCATCAGAGAATTCTTACTGGAGAAAGACCCTATGAATGTAATGAATGTGGGAAGGCCTTTATTATGCAGTCAGGTCTTTCTCAGCATCAAAGAATTCATACTGGAGAGAAACCTTATACATGTAATGAATGTGGGAAGGCTTTTATTATGAAGTCAGGACTTTCTCAACATCAAAGAATTCATACTGGAGAAAAACCTTATGAATGTAATGAATGTGAGAAGGCCTTCAGTAATAAGATATCTCTTACTCAGCATCAGAGGTTTCATACTGGAGAAAAACCTTATGCATGTAGAGAATGTGGGAAAGCCTTCGCTCTGAGGAAACAACTTACTGTTCATCAGACATTTCACACTGGAAAGAATCCTTATGAATGTGATGAGTGTGGGAAAGCCTTCAGTCAGAAAAGTTCTCTTATGAGACATCAGAGAATCCATACTGGAGAGAAACCTTATGAATGTCATGAATGTGGGAAGGCCTTCTATATGAAGGGAGAATTTACTCAGCATCAAAGATTTCATCCTGGAGGGAAGCTTTTTAATTATAATGAATGTGGGAAGGCCTTCAATGTGAGGTCAAAACTTACTCTACATCAGAGAGTTCATACTGGAGAGAAACCTTATGAATGTAATCAGTGTGGGAAGTCCTTTAGTCATAAGATATCTCTTACTCAACATCAGAGGTTTCATTCAGGAGAGAAACCTTATGAATGTAGAGAATGTGGAAAGGTCTTTACTTTGAGGAAACAACTTACTGTTCATCAGAAAATTCATACTGGAGAGAAACCTTATAAATGTAATGAATGTGGGGAGGCCTTCAGTCATAAGATATCTCTTACTCAGCATCAGAGGTTTCATACTGGAGAAAAAACAATGACTATAATGGCAAATCCTATTTAATGTACTAAATATAGAAAGGCTCTTCATGTAAATGCAGAACCTATTAGACAACTAACTCTTCATCATAGAATTCATACTGGAGAGAAACCACATGAATGTAGTAAATGCCACATTATATCATTGTTTAGTGTTTACTAAATGTCAGAAAACTGAGGAGGAAGCCTATAAGTGTAATAAATGTGGAATGTCCTTTTTTGAGTTTTCTAGTCTTTCTGAGCATTAGAGGATTCATGCTGGAGGGAAATCTCATGACTGGAATGACTGTAGAAAGGCAATCCGAGGAGACAGTTTAATCAATACCAGAACATTCGCAAGGTTTAGTAGCCATATGACTGTGATGAGTTAGTTACATCCTTTTTAAAAATTAGGACAAATCCTCTAAAGATAAGCAAATTCATACTAGAGAGAAACCTTAGGATTGTCACGAATATAGGAATACATTCACTGTAAGGTATCACGAGTAATATTCTTTGTCCTTGAGAATATGTCTCTCCAAGGCTTCAAAGTACCCTGTTGTTGTGTGTCTCCTTCATTGCCTGGGTATAGCTGATTATTATGATCTGACAACTGACTCCTTCACTTGAACTGGTTATAGTCAAAAGTCCATAACCTGAGCCTTTCTTTGACAAACTGGCAGCATGCTACCTTAACGGGACCAGGTGTGTTTCCATGCATTCCAGTTTTCCTTAAGGGATGTCAATCTCTGTATGATTAATTATTTTTACAAGATTTAAATTCTTTGGACGTATGGAACTGATCTAATAAAAGACAGTTTGTTTGAGACACAGAGGATTAAAAAAAAAAGCACACCTAGATATTGACTTTGGAGACTTTTGAGTTTTGTCTATAGATGTGAGTGTGAAAGCTTGCAAAAACATTTGTTTTAGTTGGCTTTATGTCTGTTTATATGTAATTGAGTCAATTGAAAGCAAATTAAATTAGAGTCCATTTTAAAGTAATAGACATTTCAGTAGTGATTCCTCCAAATTTCTGATTGGGATTGAAGCCCCATCTGGGTAGAGTTTTCTTTCTTCTGGAATTGATTGGAAAAGGGAAAGTTCATTTCTCATTGGCCACTTTCCCAGTGGTTCAGCTGGGGTGAAGGACTAAGAAAAAAAAAATAGAAAACTGCAGAGTTAAAAAGCTTCTTGCTTCCTAGGTTTATTGCTTTGTAAATAAAGACGATACATTTATGACACCAATTCAAATCAGGCATGAAATGTTTAAAAACTGATCTTGCAAACTACAGTAAGAACAAGAATTAAGTATAATTCCTCTGGATTTATTATGAATTGTTAAATTGGGAATTCTAAGGTTACAACTAGTCTAAAAGAGTTGTCTGCTTCTTTCTCTTCCCAAGAAAGGACAGCATTTTAAACTTGTTTTTGCTAGTTTAACAAAAAATTTTTTGGTTGTTTTCCTGCTATTAAAGCAGAAAGCTGGTAATGTTAACTGTATAATTATGCTAGCTCCCTAGTTGAGCTATATAATTTTGCTACCATGTCCATTCCTCTGGAACTAACATTTCCCCATTGTGACCAAGGAATATTTTTTTCTGAAAATTTGTACTTTTGTCTTGAAAGCTTTACCTGTGAGATTATAAACTGCATGTGTGGCCTGGATAAAATTCTGAATGATATCATATGAAGTACTTAAGTTGCAAATATTTTTTAAAAAGCACCTTGGTATGCCGAGAGTTAATTTAGTTCTGGTAGGCAATGAAAACTAACTTGAGCAAGCCAAAACCTTACTGGCCTCTGCATCTCTGTAGAAATGTGAAAAAATTTCTGTGAAAAAGAATCAAAACTTTCATAAATTTTAAGCTGAGACCAAAATAGGCCACAATAATTAGGAAATAGATTTTGGCTGGGCAAGAAGGCACATGCCTATGATCTCTGGATATACTGGGAAAGCTAAGACTTGTGGAGTGAGTGGTAGCACCTGTGCAGGAGTTGGGACTTGTAGTGAGCTAGGCAGATCGGGTGTCTGCACTGGTTGGCTCCATTATGGGAACAAAGAGGGGCCACAGTCTGCCTAAGAAGGGGAAATAAGCCCATCTAGGAAGCAAAGCTGGTCAGAATCTTTGTGCCAGTCAGTAATGGGGTCAGGGCCAGAAATAGCCACTGCACTTGGACTGTGGGTACCATGGTGATTGATTCCCAGTCTCAAAAAAAAACACCAGGTTTTGTGTTTAATTTTTTTTTATTAATTTGTTATGTTGTTAATGTGGATTTTTACAAATTTATGCATCTGCATGAGTGTCTGATTTCCCTTTGAACAGAGGACATTTAGCCATTAAACTCTGTTCCCCTCCTTACCACATGGAAGGATGAAAATTCTGTAACATATCTTTTCATTAACCCTAAAATGTTGGTATACTTGCCTCATCTACTCTTTGTATAATCTTGGGAAATAGATCAAAATAGTGAAACAGTCGAATACCTTTATACCCTGGTATATGTTTTCAATTCTTGTAAGAAATTGATGTTGTATTTTAAAGATTTTCAGAGCCCTGCAGTTTCCAGAGGGTAGAATTAACCAGGCCATGGGGAGCCTTCCCCCATTTCTTCCTATCACCTGCCTTCCCAGATCTCACTGGCATTCAGAGAGCAGCCAGTGTGAGCACTTATTCACCAGTCCACTCTGTGCCTAATCCCACCAGGATCTCTCCTTCCCTCAACCCTTCTACCTATGACACTTGGATGCCAAGCTGGATGCCATGCCAGCCTCCTTATTTTCCTCTATATGAGAGGTCTTGGAGTACCTACTGTACTCTAAAGACCTTATGTGAGCTTAATGGATATAAAAGATATTTCAATGATTACCATATTCTATGTAACAACTGTAAAACAATATTGGTGTTAACTATATAGATTACTAGACTCTTTAAGTTAAAACAGTGTAACTTGTATGAAGTAGACTCTTGTGACTATAAATTTTGTTAACTTATTGCTTACAGTTTCAGCTTGATCCTGGTAAAAACTGATACATCAATTCACCTTTCAGGGAAAGTGTACACAGCTCAATGAGGTGATCAATGATGCCTTGTGTCCCTAGCTATTAGAATTAATTCCAGGTGGATATAAATTGCTAGGAAGTGTGGGGCTCTCTTTCGAATGGGAAGGTTTGCTACCTGTTAGATCATGAATGTCACTATTATACTACTTGAATAATATGAAGTTATAAATTGACTTTTCCAAAATTGTTGTTTGACCTTTACTTGGGATCAAACAGAAATGAGAAAATGTTGTTTCAGTATACTTGCAAGAGGTGAATCTGTAACTTTCAGACCCAGCCTAGGAAGAAGTATAATGTTTTTATAGCATTGTCTTCCCTTTCTAAAAAAAAAAAACAGTAACTCCCTTTGATCAATGAATTCTTTATAATAAATTTCAGTGAAACTATGCAACCTTTTACATACAAGGGATGAGAATATAGGAGAGGAATAATTTTTTGTAAGAATTAGCTTCCTCCTAGTAATTGTATGTACCAAAGTTTCAATGATCCTCTTTATTTTCAAGGATGATAGTGTGGGGTATAGATTTGAATCCAGAGCACCAATAGGTGAATCTTCTTAGTCCATAAATGGACTCAAAGGACCTTTAGGCTGTGTACTGACTGACCCCTTTTGCCCTGCCTTCTCATTAGAACATGAGTGTGGCCCTGGATGTCTTATTGATGTTGGAAACCATCTTGCCAATTTCTTTAACTTCTGGTCCAGGGACTGTGGGTACTCACTGTGCTTTGATAGAACTAATGCCGATTGATATCAGTATGTGAATCTACTGGTGCTTCAGTCAGGGGAGTGTGGAGGTAAAGGGAAAGGGACCATTATCTCCCTCCTACTGGTGTGAATAAGATTGAAGGCAGTTGTAATTAAACAGAAGGATAGCTAGTTGCAAGAACCTTCCCCGTATAGAGAGAGGGGTCTAAAAATGTGTGGAGCTTTTCTCATCCTTGAACAATGTCTACAACACAAACCATTTTGGAGCTACACTTTATAATATTTTCAAACAGAAGACAAAATTCCCAACATTAAGTGAGGGTTTCAACATTTAGATAACAGTCTCAGAACAATACTACTTGAAAATGACTCCACGTACTTGAGATTCATTTTTCTGAAGCCATTGAATTCATTTTCATCCACTTCCTCCAGTAATTTTATCTTCCACCTAATCAAAGGTGAACTTGAGATCCTTCTCATAGCTGAAGTAATGAAAGACTTCTTCCATCTGATCATTACTCTTAAGTCAAAGTATGGGGAAAGCAGGTACTGCTCTTAAGGGGATCAACCCAGGCTGTCCCTGTCCAGTAACTACCCGTATCTCTTCAGCTAGAGTTGCCAGTTTCCTCAAAGAAAGTTGTTAGGCTTGTGTGAAGGGGAAAATGGATTTAGTGCAGGGCATTGTTTTGGGAAATGAGAATTAAAGGAAGACTGATAAAGTTTTCTTGTCCAAGTAGGATGAAGGACTTTGAACTAAAATACTATCTTAATGTTATTTTGTAATGAAAAGGGATTTCCCAGTATGCTTCCATACTTAACAGTCTTGTCCACTTCCCTGTTTTGAGGATTGCCTCCACATTAGCCTGCTTACTAGGCTTTTCATAATATATTTTCATCATCATCAGTGTCCTCCTGAACACTGACAATCAAGGTTGCAAGATGTCAAAAAAAACCCCACATCTCTGAACTGGGCATTATATTTCTCTCTCCTCATATGCAAAGTTATTGCTACCTTGTTGGTAGGATGCAATAAATCATAACTGCTTTTAATGTTGACTTCATTTTATGCTGTTTCTTTATGTTAGAGATTATTTGGGGGACAGCTCATTTGGCTAATAGAGGATATAACCAAACTTCTTTATCCAACTTGTTATGCGAATTTGTATGTTTGGCTTTTATATTTTTTGCCTCTATAATGATTGTCAAACTAATTTAAATTCATGTATTGATGTTCAGTGATAAGTTTCTAACAAAGCATTTACTTTGAAAAGAAAAGGCTTTCAGGAGCCAAGATGGCGGAGTTAAAGCAGTGACTTGCTTGAGCTCTCCCCCAAACCCCTCCAAATACCTATAAAAAATGGCTCTAAACAAATTCTAAAGCAGCAGAACCCACAAAAAGACAGAGTGAAACAAATTTACAGCCCAAGACAGCCCGGATGGTTGATTGGAAAAGTATATCACGCCAGGCAGGGAGAGGAGTGCAGTTTGGAGAGGACTGAATCACGGGCGGCTGTGGTGGAACCCATGAACGCCAAAGATGACTTAGTGGGAAAAGTCTGTGTCTGCAGTGAGGGAGAAGCAGGGTCCCACTCCCAGTCCCCAAGCTGGCCCCAGAGCAATGGCTGCTTCTGGCCCACAGACTGAGGGGGAATCAAGTGGCTGATCAGAGGGGGATTGCAGGGATCTCTCTGCTGGGCCAGGATTCTCTTGCTTTCCTGTACTTGGATCTGGGTCACAGTTCTGGGTGGCAATCCTGTGGTGAGGAGGAGTGCTGGCGTGGTGGAGCTTGCAGTGGTGGTGGATAGGAAATCCTCCTCACAGTTCCAAGGCAGAAAAGAGTGCTTGTGGTCACTCATAGACCAGAGCACAGGCCAGGAAAGGAGTAAACACCTCGTCCTTGATCATAGTACCTTGGAAGAGCTGAAAATTCACAGGTCCCTAGAAGTATCTCTAAAAACAGCTGCACAAAAACCCCCAAAGCTTGGGACAGTACATTCTCCACACTGGAAGCAGATTCCTACCTTAACAGAGTTTATAACTCAAGTAATTGACCAGGATTATGAGCAAACTGTGCAAAAAAAAAGTCAGGCCATAGAATCTTACTTTGGTGACAAAGAAGATCAAAACATACAACCAGAAGAAGGCAATGAAGCCAAAGCTCCCACATCCAAAGCCTCCAAGAAAAATATGTATCCATCCCAGGCCTTGGAAGAGCTCAAGAGGATTCTGAGAAAA